CCTTGAATTTAACCAGCTTTGATGCTCTCTCAAAACCACCAAAGGGAGTGGCAACTCTGTAGATTTTAGAGAAATAAAATTAAAGTTTATTTAAAAATCGCCTGTTTTATTTGTCTCCCAGAGATTGAAAAGGGTAGAAGTTATTTTAATGACCAAAATTACATTCTAAAGACTTTGGAAAAAGAATGCTATTTCTTTTCTGGCAAGTTATCTCTAACCTGATGTACTTTTCCATAGGTAAAGCCTTTTTCAGTCATCAGTACGAAAGTGGACAGAAAAAAATGTTGCAAGAAAACTTCTTCTCTGGTGAGTCAGAGTTACTAAACTTACTTCGTTGGTGACAAATCAATCTGTCTGATAAACATAGTTCAACATATTCTCACTAGTGAGTAACTAGTTTAGGAAGTTCTCACCCCATTTACTCATATTCCCAGCTGCTTGTTCTTCTCACTACACTGTATTTTGGCACCATGTTGTACCAGTGTATGTGTGGGGTATGCTATGAATGTGGGTCACCTATCTGATCTGCATTTCAAAAATAATAATAACAAAAAATACTGCAAAACAAACGAACAAAGAAACAAACCAAAACCAATGCTTCAAAAGGAGGATTTTAAAATCCAAATTATTTTTGCAATCTGCTTTTTAATCATTATGGTGCAATGATTGTAACAATACAAGTGAGGAGGCAGTGAAGTGTAACATCAAGCAGAAAGGAGCAGCCAAAGACAACAGCTTTTGGAAAGGAGAAGAGTGGGTGAGGGCTTCTTATCTCAGCTTTCTTGCTGAAGAAAATGTTTATGTAACTAAGCCTTGAAACAGTGGCTGAAATTGGCCCCTAATCTGCAGCCAGTATTTTTTCATGTTATTTGAATGTAAATGTTCCCTCAGATGATAAGCCTGAGAAACTAAAAGATAAGAAATTCTAAGCAGGAACTGATTGTTACATGCATTTAAAAATATTTTAAAATAGAAGTATTTTCAAATACTTCCCATGATTCTTTTATATTTGCCAGTTTCTAGGATGAAAAAAACATAGGAGAGTGAGGAGAAGGGGTGGAGAGGGAGAGGTGTTTCTCTGTATCCAGAATCCTTTGCGTAAGCAAACATGACCAAACAGACATGCCTGTTTTTATCAGCCACATAACTTTGCCACGATATAGTCTGGCCAATGATTTTTAAGTTGCATATTAACACTCGATTTCTGTAAAAATACATATGTAGTAGTATGTGACACTTCTTACTTTTTTTTTTTTTTTGTGTAGTGGAATTTCTCTAGCCCTGGTAAGTTTTGTGTATTTGGTACCAAGCAGATCTGCTGGCATATATTTCCAGTGGCTCCAGGTGATAGCATAAGCCAAGAGCAACAGAAACTAAAAAAGATAAATTGAAGATCTGACTATGGTTTTGCAGTGGATAAAACAAAACAAAACAAAAAAAAAAGGGGCAATTAAGTGCACAAAAATAAAGAGATTGATACATTAAAAAAAAATATGAGTAAATCTGTGACCTGAAAGAAATATTACTCCCAGGCACTGCACAGATGATTCACTAAATTACGATACAAGCAGGCTTTGGCAAAAGGGATAGTGTTAAATCCTGAAGTCAGTCGGGAAAGATATAAAAATGTCATGAAAGTTCTGGGCACGCATTCTTAGGAAGGGAAGAAGGCTGCTTTGGATTAAACTCTAAAACTCATTCCCAAATGAAGATAAGATTTTGCAGCAGCAACCACTCCAGGCATTAAACTCTCTTGAGGTCAAAGGGAATTCTTTTCACAGAATGCCTGTGGTATCAATCTTTTCCTGTCTTCCAGGTTACAGTGCCAAATTGGATACTGCATGATACTGATTAAAAATAATTGCTTGATAATTGGCCCAGAGTGAATGTGGTGATCTACATCTTACAGGATAATAAAGATTGTTTTAATTGCTGCTCTAATTAAGATACCCATTCTCACATTGTTGTAATATTTAATCCTCATCAATATATAAATAAAAGGAACAGTCAAGATGGATAGAACAGTAGTAGCTGTATAAAATCCAAAACTAATCTGTAGTGTAATACTTCATATTTTTAATATTTTATTCTTTTAAGTACAACATATTTCTATAGGCAACAGAAACAGGAGAGTGTTCTATGGTAATTCAAGTGGCTTTTCTGGGGAAAAAAAATATTATTTACTATGTAAAGTCTGGCCACAGAGGATTATGCATTCTTGCGTGTTTGGCAGAAGCACATGAAGCACAATCAGCATAAAGGGTAGTACAGTAATTGGCTAATAGATGTAAATTTTCCTTTACAGCAGTGGTATATTTCTTATGAGCCACAACTTGTCTGACTACGTGATGTTATAATGAGCTGTGTTGTAAGCTCTGATTCACTGTATAGAAACCTAGAACTCATATGTAAAAATTCCAGGAGTCATTGCTCATAGCAGGGGCAGAAATCCTGGTTCAAAGCCATAGGAAGTAGAACCAGGAAGCCTAAGAGACTGTTTAATGACCGCTTTACATATTCCTGAAAAGTTGATGTGTGATTTAATGTCATCAGACACAAACAGGTTTTCAGCTGTTTTGCTAAGGGTTCTTGTTTTGGTCTCAGTCTTACTGTATATTTTATTGTCTCAAAATAGAAGATTACTTGTAGTTGATTATTTGGGAAAGTTTGAGGTAACTGTATTAGCAGATTCAGTTACATCATTTTGAAAAATGTGAGTTCCGCAAATAAAAATGGGACTATTATTTACAGAATATTTTGCTTATTCTGTTAGTTCTATCTGAAAAGGAGATGTAAGAGCAGACATCTTGATCCTACAAAATGCTCAGACCTTCATGGCTAATTTACTGCAAGAGCTAATACCAGTTTGGCAGAGGTATTTAGGTGCTAAGGTACTGGCTAAACATTTAGTCTTCACTAATCTCTTACATTAGTTGAAGTTAGGCAGCCAAAATTCCTTTGAGGATCTGGTTCTTGGCATTTTTACAATATAGTTCAGAATCCATTAATCAATAAAAGCGGAGCCCAGTCCAGATGGACTGGATTCCTTTAGTGTTTTTGGAACACTCTTTGGGAATTAAGAAGGCTGAGCAATAATTTGTCTGGTAGGACAGACAGAACCAGTCAGACTTGCTTGTCTTATGTGAGCGAGATGTAGTGCTTTGTGTGTCACATGTAAGCTAAACTTTGATATTTTACTCAGTTTCAGGAAGGCATATGCAATAAAGGTACTAAATTAACTGATATTACAAACTCATCAACATACGTTAATTTGCCTGAAGGAACCTCCAAGAGAAGTCACGTGGCATGGCTCTGTTCTGAAGCATTTCTCTGTGAGCACAGATTCCTTTTCATCCAGGGGAGAAAGGGTAGCCTTGTCTGAAGAGTCTTCTTCCAGTATTCTATGAACCCAATTTCTCTGCTTATATGCTCTGTCTAGTGCTAGCTGCAGTTCAGCCATTATTGGCTGCCTCACAGAAAGCCCTGCATCAGAAAGCAGATGTGCCTCTTGTTTGTTGTCACTGCCTCTCCCTTCATTGACCTGCCAGCATTACAAGATGCCTGCAGTGTAAAATGCCTTCTAGATTCCAATATTACTGTGAATTCCTTAGTTCTGATTCTGCTATGGTTAAAGTCAGTGATAAAAAATTACATTGCTGTATGGTCCAGAGCTGCCATTTCATTGCTGGCAGTGAAAAACAAACAAACCAAAAAGCCTGAATGCTGATCAACACTGACTGTACTTCAAAGCTGTGTCTGTGTGGGGCTGTTCCATCTCATCAGATGTCCCTCACTGCTAAAGTCATGTTGCTGGTTTGTTCTGGAATGTGCAAAGCTGAAAGGAACCTGAATATGGCCAGTGAAATCCAAGAGCCATGTTGACAGATACCACTGAGCAAACTTGGATAGAATCTCAGGCCTGTTTCTTTGGGAATTCTACGCATCACATATTATGTTAACCACACCCTGTTCTGACTAATGATGTCTGTACTAGTGTTTTGCTGGAGAACAGACATAATGCTACTTTGTTGAATGATGAATCATGATAGAAAGCTTTCATTGATGCCCCCACTGATAATAAAAGGGTGTCATTATACCACACTTTGAATGTTTAAAACACTGTCATTTGCTTTCTCTCCTAGACTGCAATTAAAGACATCAAGGATTCTGTGACCTACATTAGATAACTTAAAAGTATCTAGAAACAAAAGACTGACGAAGTTTTCCTTCTGCAAATGTTCCGATCTTTTAACTACACTGGCAGCTGCATCTGTCTTAATTCAAGCTCATCTGTGATTCCTTAATTAATACAATTTTGCCCAAACTTTCATATCTGAGAACAAACGTGATGTACTATTACCGCAGCAAGGTTAGAGTACATCACGGCACTTTCACTCAAAACCAATTGCTAGTACTGTTGAATTGCTGTGTCAAATGGCAGTATATGTGTGAACAAAGCTTTTTTTGCAATACATCTCTTTAAGAATGAACCTAACAGCTCATATATAGTGTTCCAGAGGTGATGAAGTCCTCTATACTGAATCACAAATGCTGTCCAGAAATATAAAATTAACTGGGTTAGAAAGACTGTGGTTCTTTGTCTAGATGTCAGGCCACACAGTTAATAGTAAAGAGGTTTAAATCACAGAATGGCCTGGGTTGGAAGGGACCTCAAGGACCATGAATCTTCAACCTCCCTGCCACATGCAGGGCCACCAACCTCCCCATTTAATACTAGACCAGGCTGCCCAGGGCCCCATCCAACCTGGCCTTGAACACCTCCAGGGATGGGGCATCCACAAGCTCTCTGGGCAGCCTGTTCCAGCACCTCACCACTCTCATAGTAAAAAACTTCCTCCTGACATCCAACCTAAATCTTCCCTCCCTCAACTTAAAACCATTTCCCCTTGTCCTGCAGTTATCCACGCTTTCAAAGAGTTGATTCCCTTCCTGTCTGTAGGCTCCCTTTAGGTACTGAAAGGCTGCAGTGAGGTCACCTCGCAGCCTTTTTTTCTCCAGGCTGAACAAGCCCAGCTCCCTCAGCCTGTCTTCGTAGGGGAGGTGCTCCAATTTAGGATCTTTTTGCTGCTCCTAAATCTGTTTCTTCCCCTTACTAAAAGCAATAACTACAGAGAGTACTTTAAAAGATCTAGGCATTCAGGTTCGGACCATAGTTTCTCATCTTCCACATGAGCTCCTTTATTGTTCAGCTAGAGAAAAAAAGAGTGTTTATTCCCTCTGGCCCAACTCTGATTTATTTTCAGTATTCTGGCAGAGGTCACACTTAGCCTTCTCTGTAATATTTGTAGTTAACTAGGTTGACAGTTGCAGGTTGGATGCATGCTTTCAATCCCATTATCAGGCACTCCACTCTCCTATCCATTTTTAGACGTGTAGACATGTAACTCATGGCCCTGAGATCCTCTCCAATAAGCTAGTATCTTGAATTTCAACTTTGCAAATTCTTTCTTTTGGAGCTTGTCCTTCTTGCTCAAAAACATATATCAGAGTGTACTGTATGTATCAGTTTTTCTGGATTCACTAGATTATTGTTGTTATTATTTTTACTGTGGAAAGTGGTGTGTTTAAGTATCATAGATTATATCTCTGTGTCTTGCATTTTGAGCAAGAATCTATCAGTTTCACAATCTGGATTTGTTTGTATGTGGCAAGTTTTAGGTTTTCTTATGGCAGTTTCAAGAATGAATGAAGAAGAAATCTGAACAGTTAGTGTTATATAGAGGACAACTAAATGATTATAGGACCACAAAGCAGCTAGAAATTCACAAATAAGCCATCAGATACTGTCTCAACTCACTGATGCACTCTGTGCCTTGACTGATCCTATCTTTCAACAGTGATGACTTGTGTGCTGGACTTCAAATCTCTCTTGTGTGAGGAAACACTGATTCTTTCCCTATTTCTGTCTATATGTACCTTTGTCTTTTTTTTTTTTTCCCCTGTCTGTTGCAATGACCATAGTACACAAACTGTGCTGCTACTGTTCCAATGTTGGCAGCTGTAGCATATCTCTGATTTGTATTTGTTATTTTGTTTACTGACAAGAGTGTGCTACACACTTGTGATGTGTGTTATATTGTATTAGGATATAAAAATTAGTGTGGTGTCCGCAGTGCCAATTTTGATGTACTGCAGAGTTTTTGTTCCATGCACTCATAGTTGAGGCCCATCTATGGTAGGAATCCAAGTGGTGTTTGCGGTGTTTTTCACTAAATAAATACGTGTGAACTTTTTAATTACATTGCCATCCGTCTGTTGTTTTGAGGAAGGAGTTTAAGCTTAACTAAGCTGTAGTAAAAAACTGTCCATGACTGATGAATAACGATAATGCAAATGGAATGAATGATAGCAACGAATCAGGAATTTTAAAATTTCAAAATATTTCCAAACTATTATCATCAGTTTGTCGAGAAGCTCTACCAAAAAGCCCCAGTGTACAAGCTACTGTATAAGAAACTTTATTCTCAGACCTCTTTCTATTTCTAATGTATTTTGAAGCCTGCTTGTAATGGAAATGCTCATTTGTTACCAAATGTTTTCAAAGATGCAAAAAAAAAAAAAAAAAAAAAAAAAAGTTAAATGTGATAAAATACGTAAGCTGCTGTTTGGTCTGTGGCACTGCTAGAGGGTAGAGCTCATTGTACTCCCATTGCCTACAGAACAAGCCAGTAAGGTGTGAGCTGTAAAATAAATAAGTAAAATTAAATAAATGAAAAGCAAAAATAAATGTGGTTTGCCTTATATAGTTTGCAAGCCAAGTGTTACTCAAAGTTTCCCTGATGGGTCTTGTGAGGTCATTATACTGTACCTGCCAAAGTCAACAGAAATGCTGGAATAAGTTTGAAGTGTTACTATATCCTATACTATTTTTTATGCCACTCTTTCTTTCTTTTTGTTTCTCTCTCTTATTGAATATTTTCAACAATTAACCTCCCATTATTTGTTCTATAATTAATGTTGGTGTTGGGCCCACACTGCAGAAAGAGCTCTTGCTTGCTGCTTGTAATCTATGTAAATTTGGATGCATATACTTGCAAGTACAGATGGTGTGTATTTTTACAGCTGCTGGAAACATCTTGTTTCATAGTAATTCTTCACTGTAAGATTCAGTGCCCTCTCAGAATTACCTGTTGAAGCTCCTGTAGTCCGGCAGTTCTGGCTTTGCTTCAGGTTTGAAAAGTTTAGGATATAAGGCCTCCAGCAGCTCAGGATCATCCCTAATGGCTTCTATCCAAGGAGACTGATAATACTTTGGCACAGAAGTAGTGTTAAACTTTTCAGGAGGAATTTCTTTTAGTGGACCAGAATATCCTGCAAGGAGATCACAGGAAAACCAGTATAACAATATATTGCCTTTTTGATTCCTTATAATTGTCCTATGAAAATAGAAAGTGATATTCCATCAGTTCACCAATAGATAAAATGAACTACTGAAACAAATGGGTTGACCAAAGCCATGCAACAGCAGATAGGTCACAGAATGCATTTGGAGATTTTTAGATAACTGCTCTGAGATATTCTACTCTCCTTTTGAGGCTACATTTAATTCATGTAAATTTATAACTTTATTCATATAATCATAAGTATCTGCTTGAAAATGAGAGTGTATCAATACCATCCTTGGCCTGAATTAACAAACAGATTTTTCTCTGCATAAACATCTGAGGGTCTGGCTCTGATCAGAGTTCTAATAAGCAAGAAAATTCCATTTCAATGTGATTTCTTCTATAAGCAAGTGCATTATGGCAAGAGCAAATAGAGAGAGAGGAAAAACAGGCCTGAAAGTACAGTTTGAAGAATTAAAATCAGCAAGGCATTATCCTAATATATGACCTATAGTATTCATTTGAAAAACAAAGGAAATCTATTTTCCCTTTTGTCCTTATTCAGCATCAAGCTCTACAAAGTAATGCTATTTTCTCTTACAAACATTAAAAAAAAAAAAACCCTACTCTGTGGTTTAATAACTACTTATTTCACCAGAACTAAAATAATTTTCACCATTTTCAAATGTGAAGATTTCTATCATCTCTTAGCACAGGAAAAAGCCTCCATCTGAACTGTATTTGTCCCATGTATGCACAGTCTTAGCATTCTCCAACAGAGTAGCATTGACCTAGTTTACATAGACTGGAAAAGGTCTGCACAAAACGTGCATTGAATAATTCCGAACAAAGAATGAATTTGTAAAAAAACAAAAAAAAAACACCAAAAAAACCAGTGTGTTCATGGATAATTCATAAACAGGAAGAAAGACTATATCACTGGTTAAATTGATCACAACAAATTAGCCTTCTCTAGTCTTAGAGAATACAAAATAAGGCCTTAAGTCAGCTCACTGCTTTTAATTAAAAAAAAAAAAAAAAAAAGACAGTACCCTCATAGTTAAGGACTTAAAGCAGAACTGTGTTTATAGCTGGGGCAAATTCCTCTTCACTTCTCTATAGAAGAGTCCAGCAAAACTTGCGATAACTTCATATTTACATTTCTGGCTAATTAAACTACAATAGATAATTTTCAGACTGTTGAGCGTTGTATTGCAGTTTAGAAACTAGGGCAGTGTAAATGCAGTGTATTAGTCTGATTTAACAACTGAGGAGCTTTCTCAATATTTATGGGATCAATAAATATATGAGCAGTTTCACCGGATCATAATGCACATTTTAGTTGAAGGAAAAGTTGTACAAAAGGCAGGTAAAATCATTAAAAATGAAGTAAATTGTACTGCTTTAAATTTCCATGGGAAATTCTGATTAGTTATCTTAATTAAATTTATGAATTTCTAACAGCAATTCCATTCCTAAATAATGGTTAATGATGTTGTTTTATAAAGTGCTCTGTCACTTGCTGTGTAAGGAACACTAAGTACCATTCACATCTACAAGTTACTGTATTACCTGGGGCAATGTTGTCAGGATGTGGTGGGCTCCGGGGATCAGGTGTATTAGGGGGCGTCATTGGAGCGTGCTGGGGAATTCCTTCAACACTGAGGCCATCCATTTTAACACTGTGTATGGGCTCTCCACGCTGCATTCGAGTATAAACAAGCATCATTGATAGCAAAGGCAAAAAAGTAAAAAAGAAAAAAAGGAAAAAAAGAGTTCATCCATAATTCTCTTTTGAGGGACGGAGTATTACTGTATTATAGCCCACGTCTGAGAGCCAGGACATATTATCCAAAGGCATACTTTCCTGCTTTTAGGTACCATTTTTGCTAGACAGCATTCCTCTGAGCTTTCCAATTGTTATCCAGAAGATTAAACAGTTTCACAACTCTCTTGCAATGGCTAGGTAAGCAAAAGTGAATAGTCTATCAGTTTTAAGAATGGTATTACAGCACAGTTTTAAATGTATATATTTCAAGTGTGTTAAAGCTTTATACAAAGAATTGAGGGTTTGAAGAGCTAGGTAAATAAGAGGCCTAATTACCATTTAACTGAGTTGTCCTTCTCTGAAGTTAAGCTCTATTTAATTACTTATCTATTATCTAATTAATTATGCAGTCTAAGAAGAGAGTTCACCCCTTCTGTTGCTCATACTGGTCACTACAGTACCTGCCTGTGCCTGTGGGCCACATGATTCACAGCAGATAGTAAATCCTGTTACTTTGACTGGGGGCTGAGGAATCACTAAATGCCAGGAGTTGTGATATGCAAGACAAGGCCCTCTCACTGTTTAAATATTCTGTAAATCTGTTAGGTTTGAGCCATTTGAGTTTCAAAGCACTGATTCTTCGAAGCTTCTTTTCCTATCTTCGTTGAAAATCCACTGCATTTGTTGAATTGATTTTATTTGGGATTTTTCCTGTATTTATAATAGAAATAGCAACTTCAGTGTGGGTCACTTTCTGAAGATTTATGATACGGTGTTATTTTCCACTTGGCTGTTGGGCCACCAGTTCTAAGGAAACATCTAAAAGCTTAATCATTGTCGCATAAATATAGAATTGGAGTCTCATAAGAAGTCAGCATCTTATTTTAGCTGTGACGCATAAGCTAAAAGTAATTTAAATACAGACAGTTTTAGAGTAAGAGTTTCTTAAAGTAGGAAAGCAAATATTCAATACTTGTTTTAACTTGAAACAAACAAAAAAAAGATTAAGGCGGTCTGTTTTGGAGCTATCCTAAGGTATGTTAGAAAGATTAATTTTGGCAGCTAGAATCAGCTGATGCAGAAAACAATGTCTAAATAGGTATTTAAGGGAGAGGAACAGAAGCCAAAGAAGAATAATTTCTTCTATTGTCAGAATGTCATATTGACTGTACATCATGCTGTGTTTTTGTTTGTGTGTTTTTGTTAGAAATACTACAGAAGATGTAGAGAGATCTGCAAAATTTCCATTAGGATGGTTTATTACAAACTTTCTGCTCCAAAAGCCTCCTTGTGAGAAACAGTTTCCTTAGAGTCAAAAACCTGCACTTGTTTTATTGTTTCTGATTAATTTACATGTGTTTTTGTTAATACAATTGAACATAGTTTGAGTAACCATTAGTGCTTTGCTGTTTGGTTCATAAATTACTCATCTCCTGTTTGTACCAATTCAAACTTCAGGCTTTATCATATCAGTACATGACATACACTCATTATTTTTACTTCCCTAAGAGGAGTTCTTGACAAAAGAAAATTTCAGTAGAAGTCTTTCTATGGATTCTGTAGGGTTTGGATACTCATACAATCATAGCATCACCTGTGCAGGATTTAAAGATTCAAAGTTGTGATGGAATTAGAGGGGCTGCTCGCATGCTATATTAGATTAGATGTAAAGTGCTCACACTCAAATAATTAAGACCTAAATAAAATGTATGAATGTTTTTCTCCTTATTTTCAGACAATAAACAAGTGGTTTAAGTATTTTGCCAAGGCCACAGATGAGACAAACACCAGGTACATTTGATCACTGCCGTAAGGATACCCAGGGTATTGCTAATGCTTTATCCCATTTCCTGTGGGACCAGTTCAGGAAAATAATTGTATTTCAGCGACAAGCTTTATCCTTTGTCTCCTTGTTCTTCCTAAAGGTACAAATAAATCATGGACAACGTTTATCTCGAGCACAAAAGGAACCTCAGGCTAGTTTCACTGTGTTTTGTAAGCAAGTTGTTACAAAATACTCACATTTCTTGGCTTGTTTGCAACATAATGATAGTTTTCATATGTGTATTTGTCAGATCTCCGCTGACGTCTCTTGAAGAGCCTCGCGCCTCTATTGCTGAGTGTTGATAGTTCCTCCACCATGATGTCTCTTGGGGTACTGACCTTTTTTCCAAGATTTAAGCTGGGTGAGACTGCAATACAATGAATAAATACATACCTGTGTTTTTCTTAAATGCCTGAGGTCGCACACCCTACACCTGAAACCCAATAACACATCAGTGCATAATTATCTAATACATGAGGGAGCTTCATAAGGCGTTAGTGAAATTAATCATTCTTCCAACATTTTGGAGTAGAGTGTAGAACGCTACAAAGACCCCAAGCTCCACATTTAATTCAGCTGAATGACATTTAGCTGTTTTGAAAATTGGATCTATGTTGTCCCGCACAGAGACTAGGAAAAAATGGCTTCTGCTGAAACTAGTAACAAAATTCCAGCTGACCTCAGCATTCCCAAATCAAACCTTTAGTTAACTTTGTGTTCTGCACTGGATAGATGAGGAGGTATCTCCTTTTAAACACACCTACCAGTTTCTTATAGCTTATATAAGTTTTATTTTTAATCTTTCTTTAATATTCTGCTTTTATTTATTTTTAAAACTGGGCCATTTTGTACTTTAAGAGAAGTTTGTATTAGAAAGTCTACATTAAGTAACATTTTTTATTCAGAGAAACCTTCAAAATAAAGCTCATGATGTTAAAAATGAGAGACAGAACAAAGATCCACAACATGCTTATGAAAACTATATGCTTAGTGTATAATCAATGGATATTAAGATGTTATAATCACAAAAAAAGAAACAAGAGAGTTAGGCAAAGTAGACTAAGATAACAAGAGGGAATAAATGCAGGGCTTACCCATACACTAGGCTCACCCACAAAAAACACCACAAGAGGGGATCTCCAGATGAGATCCTTCCCCACTGGCAGCCAGCTCTTAAATAGGTCTGGGGGTGGGGGGGAGCTAGGCTCCACCCTTCCTGCAGCACAGGTGAATTGCCTTCACCTGTGCTCCTCTGGCTGACTCATGGCTCGCCTCAGGTGATCAATCAGAGGTTCAGGCCGTGACTCAGCAGTTCCCATACATTAGAATAATTATTTTTGATTCTCTTTAAGAGAAAAGTTACAAGCATGTCTCAAAACATGACGCTATCAGAGACTGAACTATTAAATGCAGTGTTAATTTATTCACTGTTCAGGAAAAAAAAAATTATTGTCTTTTGTTTACTGGGCTCCTAGGGGATTTGAAAATGAAGATGAGGAAGATCAATTTAGACTATAAATGGAGAACATGGAACATCTGAAACTTTACTGATCATCTCTGTGGTGATGTTCCGGAAAGAGGGATGTTTGTGTCAGTGAGCAAGCTGATGCTGAGTAGTCACTCTCTTATGAGATGTCCTCAATCTTTAGGTAATGCTGAAACTTACAATACAGTAACTTCAAGACTATATTATTATTTTGTATTAATTTATTTCAGCTTAGAACTTAGAAGAATTGAAAAAATGTAACAACAATTGGATCATATAGTAGAACAAATTTTTAACAAAATAATTTCCTATTCCCACTTTTATTAATAATTATAATTTTGTTAATTACAATTATTCTCAGTTATTCATGAACTTCAGGAAAATAAATGAAGATGGAATGTATTTCAAAGATTACATTGAAGAGATGTGTTATATTTCTTCGATCCACTTATTCAAAGTCACAAAGTTATTTCTTTAATAATAAGATCTCCTATTGTTTACATGCTCTTATAATCTACAGGGTATAAAATTCTGAATTTCATTAGGTATTTTAATGCATTAAAATGAAACCTAATTGGTTGTAAGGAACTGTATCTTGCTTCCAGGTGAATCAAACCGGAAGCCCAATCTAAAATTAGCAGTACAAAATAATTATCTGCATAGGTACTTAATGTCAAAGTTAATACTGCATATACTGGGGGGGAGGTATTTTTATTTTTCAGTGTTTCATTTTGAGTACATGGCATATGTGACATGGCTTATGTCTCCTAGTAATAATGATGGAAAAGCAACGTGTAGTGTTGACACTTAGGAAAATATAACTGAGATACATACATTAAAAGCTTAGCCTAAGTTGTATTAGATGAGTTTTCCATGAAGTAAATCAAACAAGTTTATAGGCCATGGAGTATATCGCCGCTGATCCACTTTTGTTCTTACTGATTTCAATTGAATGCTTGCAGGAGATTTAACTGGAGCTAGGGCAAGCTAGCTGTATCAAGCATGCTCTTCTGCTTTATTAATAGTATGCAGAAAGAATCCTAACACACTCTTGCTATTTGTTAGCTACAAAACAGAGAGTTCTTAACATGGAAGAAAGTGACTCGGCTTGTCCAGACATATCAGTGACAGATAATGGTGGGGATTTGGCTCAGTGGTTAAGTGAACTAGTTACTGGCCTGTAGCCTAAAATTTTGACCCACAAGTCATATTTTGATTTTCTTCCTTTTCAAGGTTACTAGAGGGCTATGGGCTGTTGAATGGTTTTATGGTAATAAGAGATGAGAAGTTTACTCTTCATATCAGCAACATTTTCACATAGAAAATGTTGATCTTCATTGTCCGCAGAGTTGGTAGTAATATAAATCCTGAGCCAAGATCTCTGTCCAAACTACTCTGTGTTTGTCTGGGAGCATGATGGATGTTAACTGTTTTGCTCTTTGCTGTTCCTTTATGTATGTATCGTTCTTGCAAATGTTTGCTGTAGGCTCCAAGGTGTGGAGCTCTTTGTAGCTCACAGTTGTGTGCTATTGTGTATCTAGGCAGCAACCCAGAAACATAGCTGTGAAGTTCAGTTGAATCCCCTGCCAGCTAAAATCTAATCTGCTGTCTAGTTCAGGACGTGTCTAGGGATTGTTTCAGTGTCAGTGCAAGAAAGGTGATGAAAAATGAGGAAAGAAGAACATGTAGGGCATGACAAAAAGAGAACATCTCCAAGTGCACCAATACAAAAAGCCTCATAAATGGACATTAACGCTGGAAGTTTATTTCATGGTTTAAACTTAATCTTAGTCCAGTTTCATTTCTTTATTTGTTCCTGCCAATTCAGCTCTATTCTGCCCTTAAAGTTTTTACTAACTTCATTTAGGTATGATTTATATGTTTCTTCCCTCAATCCCTTTTGATCTTCCAGCTTACAGTCTTCTCAAGACCTCTGTTTGAATTATAAATTCTAATCATAAGTATTATGTTTGTTATGGTATCAGAAGTAAGAATTTGTAACTCCATCATAATAGTTGTTTAGCTACTGAAGAATGCACTTACGAACCTGGGCAGAGTTAGACATGAGGTTTGAGTTTGATTGAATACTAATCTGAGAAACTCCAAAGACTTCCCTGAACATAATATATACATATTTGTATGCCTCTACCAACTAGGTTTAGAAATTTTATGATACGCCCAATTCTCCCAGAGGAAAGAATAAGCGTTTGAAAGGTCACAATGTTCCCGATGCTGCTGTAGTCCTACAGGCTCCCTTGTGAGATCATAGGAGGGTGTCTTTTACTGCAGCATTTTATGACACACAGAACTTAAGCAGAATATGAAGTAATTTTCTATAGCCAACAGGAAAATGTGGACTTCCAGTTATTACCAACCCAGCCCAGTTTTAAGACAGTCATAAAAACTTGAACAACTTTGTGTGGTTTTCCATAAGATATTTCTGCTGTGAATATCTTCTATAAGGAGTTTAAGGTTCAGTGTTTATGTGAAAGCATTGTAATAAAAAGGAGCTAAAATAAAAATGCAGTAGGTATACTTCTGAATGCCATCCCAAGCCAAAAGGACTTGCACTACAGAACCTCCTGTTAATGTTTACCTCTGTTAATGCTTAGTATTTCTAATGTCTGTGAAACAGCAGTTTCTTTCAGGATGAAGTTTAGTTTTTAGGTAATTTTCAGGTGCAGGACCTTCATTACAGACAGCAATGCACAACATTTTATCTTCCAGATCTCAGGCTAAACTTGTTTAATTAGCAGTTGAGGGGAAATAAATTGTCAAAATTAAAAGAATACTTCATTCCTTTAAAGATCAGATTTATCCCTGATTTCTTGAAGGATGGTTCAAATTTGGTCCTAGAGAACTAGCATATATTTTGTCTAATTATGGCTTTGGTTATCCTTCTATTTTCAAATTGGTTTCACTTAAGAGTTTAAAACTTTAACTTATACAAGTTACCATGCACATTTCATGAAATTTCCCTTTGTTTAAAAAAAAAGTATATATCCCAGACATCCAAAGAAGAGGCAGAAGTAGAATACAAAGTTAAGGGTTAAGGTGTTTGTATTGTCTTCAGTGGCCTTGTATCACAGCATGTCTTAAAAAAGAAGTTGTAGGATCTGTTTATATCTACATGTATGAGTAATGAAAGGACAGATTATGTAAGGTAAACATCAACCCAGGTTATTCAACTACTCCAATAACTACCAGAACTGCATGGTATATTTATTAGTATTGTAATGAACAGCAACATTTACCATTTGAAATTCATTATTCTAAACAGTTTTTCTGCCCTGAAGAGCTTAGTGGCTATTTCAGGCACATATGATACTTTCATGACAAATGAAAATTTGAGTCATAATGAAATCTGTACAGGTAGTCTGGGTTTTAGACTTGTGTGTGTTCAGTTGGGGAAAAAAAAAAAAAAGGGGAAGAGGAACAGAAATTACTGAAAAATGTAATTATCAGTATTAGGACCAACACTGCAATGTTACTTTTTTCTCAATTCTTTATGTTTCTGGTCCTACTTTTCCAGCAGTCAGATTGGTCAGTGAACACGTACAGAACACCTCCCAAAACTCTGCATCAAAAGACCACAAGAAATTTTTTTCAGTATTGAAATTTAATGTCCAGTGCTTTATCGTATGTAAGAAGTAGGATTTTCAAAAATTCTTAATATTGGCAGAACTCTTTTTTCAGTGCCACTCGTAGAGTTCTTATCACTTTAAAAATAATGGTATTTTAATCTTTAAAAGATTCATGGGAAGGATTGGAAGGATCCCCAAAAGCACCCAGCACATACCTAATGAAAACTAAGACAACCAGCACTCCCAGGTGAGTTAATTGCTTCCAAAGGTGTCACACTAGAAGTGTAATTTTAATAAGCTCTTTTTGAACATTGAGCTACCTTCTCATGTCTACATTCCCATTAATGCAACAACAGAAAAGAAAAATTCCTGCATATAAGATTAACTGGTGGCTATGAATTGGGAGAAAATAGCCAGATTGATAGCAAATTATTAGTTACAGAGATTAATTATTAGGAACAGAGCTGTAAATTATTTCAAAAATTTTTATCATTCCTATTAAAAAAAGCAACATGAAAGAGTGCCAAAGAAAAAAAAAAAAAGGATACAGGCAGATCAACATGTTCCTCAGATGATAGCCATTTAAAATGGAATGAAGTCACGTTATTAACCCCAAATAATGTTCTGAAAGGCTATCCTAGCAGAATGCACATCAGCTGTTAGATTACTTCATTCCTTCACAGCAGTTGTTCATCTGAAAATAGCTTTCAAATGAAAAGAGGCAACTACAAAAGGATTAGTTACCATAGGCAGCACGATACTCCCCCAAGATTATTTATGGCAAAACACTCAGAGACAAAGCTGTAAGAGAGTTAAACTCTGTGATTAAAAAATGTTTTAGGGAGGGCTAGAGGACAGTGCATATAGAGTAAGTTGTGTTCAGCTCTATACCATTTCTCTGTATTTCATCCATAATGGCTGATGCTTGTTGTTTCCTCTCTTTGACCATGGCAGAATGTGATAACATTGTGATTTTCTGATGTGATTTTTCCTTGCTGAAAAAAAAAAAAAAAAGAAAACCCACACATTTTTATATTGTTGAGCCAGCTCATGCTATTAAGCCATTTTTATTTTCTGATAGCATGTTTAGAATGGCTGAATAGTAATTTTTTATTATTATTATTTCTCCTGTAGAAATACAGTGTTTTTAACTAGGCAAGATGCACTGGCAATTTCTGCTTGCAGTTCGATACTAGAAGGTATTTACATGGATAGAAACTGCCAAAGAATGAGCTTTGAGTTGGATACATACATTTTGCAGCAAAATCAGTTGGAGATTTAGGCCTTTGCATATCTACACATTACAATAAAAGATTTCACAACTAACATTTTTATTATACCTTGTATTATGTTTTCACAATGTTATACTGATATTTCTTAATCTAATAAAGAATTTGAGGAATAAGATGCTCTGGCATCTTTAAAGAAGGTGCATTTCTGACTATGTTAAAAAATAAACATCTTTGAAATTGCAGAGCCAAGAGTTTACATAAATGTCTTTTATCTGCTACTTTGTATGACAGTCAATGACAAAATATTTCAGGAAACAATACACTTACCGTACTGTTTCGTTGCAGAAAAAAGTGATCTCAACTCTTTAGTTGAAACTTCAGGAGTTAGTTGTGAATGGGGGTGACCTGCCTGGTCCAGGATGGTTTCTACCCTTGTGCTTGGATCTGCATGGTACCTAGTACTGAGACAAACTGGGGGCTGATCCTCTTCAAAGGGATTGGCATCCAGCTGACATCAACTAGTTATATATAGAATCAAACACTCCAGCCACTCATATCTTCCTGGCAAAAGAGAACAGGAAAGATTCAGCTGCACCCACAACAAAGAGAGTTTATAGCCCTTTAAGAGCTTATTGGAAAATTTAATGGAATGCATTCCTCATACAGATCATCTCCTCATCACCTCTGAGATTAATAATCTATGTCTTATAACCAGGAAGGAGACATTTAAAAATATGGTATTAAATATATGGATGATCAAGTCTGTATCAGATGAGAATGGCATGGGCTAATCCTTAGTGAAAGATGAAACCATACTTCAATAGATGGCTAAAGTCAGTAGCAGATGGCTGATACACAAAGTCTGTTCTGGAAAAGAAATGAGATTTTTTTTCAGTTTTATAAGTGGTAGAGTGTAATTTTCAGTATTATAAATGGCTGGGAGTAATTTCTGAAAAAAAACATACACACCCTTAACTTGTTATTCAAAATCTTAACATTTTTGTTGTGTGTTAGGAAGAGAAACCTGCAGAAGTCTGAGAGGTAATCAAATTGATCATTTTGGGATAGTGTTGTGCAACGCTGTCAAAGAAATGTGGGAAGCACAAATGTTACATAACAGCAAAAAACTTTGAGCAAAGAGAAGTTGTGGCAGAAAGGAAGTTTCCCTCCTCAACCTTTTTTTTTTTTTCACTCAATGCAGATAACTGAATTACAGGCAGTAATAGGAAGATGAAATAGTTCTTGTATTTCTGACTCAGATTTGGTTTTGCTCTGGGAAGCTTCGACAGGAGAAATGAATTCTGCATGTAAATTGAATCCAGAGAGTAATAAAATACACCAGTATAGTGTTTATAACTTTTCAAGCAAGCAGGCTGAGACGTATACAATATATACACCTGATAAAACGTCCTAGAAGGCTTTCAACCAAAAATTACTTAATCTTTTTTCCTTAAGCTTTCTCCTCCTAGGCTTACCTTTTCAAATCATTCCTCTGAGATCCTAGACATCTCTGCCTGTATAATCAATGGATATCAAGATGTTACAATGACAAAATAAGAGAGTTAGGCGAAGTGGACTATGATAAAAAGAGAATAAATGGAAGGCTTACCCTTATGCTGGGCTCACCCACAAAACACCAGAAGAGGCAATCTCCAGACGAAATCCTTCCCCTCTGGTAGCCAGCTCTTAAATAGGTCTAGGAGAGGTGCAGCCAGGCTCCACCCCTTCCAGCAGCACAGCTGAATTGCCTTCACCTGTGCTCCTCTGGCTGACTCATGGCTCACCTCAGGTGATCAATCAGAGGTTCAGGCCATGACTCAGCAGTTCCCATACACTGCCCTAAAGAGAATTGCATTTTATTCCTCACTGTCAGAATTAATACTATTATTAAATGCTGTGTACTGTTTTCAAGGTTTTCGTGCTTGATTCAGCCACTTACAATAGTACCAGCAAGCATGATCAAAGTCTTAGGTTGAGTCTTACCTATTTAACTAAAGAGGTTGCTCTGTACCCGTGTGAGGCTTTCAGTGATTTCTCTTGCAAAGTGAAGGCAAGACTAGTGCAGATACTTCTAAAATGAAAATGAAAATAGGTCTTTCTCCTCTCTCTTATAGGATGAGTAAATTTAAAAAGCATATAGTGAACATTTCCATTCCTGTTACATATTTGAGAATAGAAGATGATACAACATTCAGTTTTAATTCTATCAGAATGCTGCTTTTTTGTTTCCTGAAAACCTGACTGGCCAAAGCCATGTGCAACTCAACCTCATAGTCTTAGCTTTGAGCAGAGGATTGAACCCCCAGAGATCAGTTCTAACACAAGTTAGTTACTCTATAATACATAACATGTTTTCCCAAGACTGTCAAGAACTGGACTGAGGTGATAAGGGATACAAAGATGTACACAATCACAGAATATTTACAGAATTTTTACTTTCCACACACACAAGAAATATCAGTGTTGTTTTAACTTAAGTGGATAGCACTGTAATAGAAACTGATTTAATCCTCTCATTTCCCTCAAATATAAATGACTGAAACATCAGTCTTTAAGCATCAGCAAGATAATAAGCTGCTAGGAAACTTCCAGTAGAAATTTATGAAACCAATTCCCTCTTTTTATTTTACAATAGTTGACAGCCTGTGATGAAAGGCGAAAGCAGTAGGCATAATACATTCTGACTTTCGTTAGGTTTTTGATAGCATGCCACACTTGAGTGTTCTTGAAACTCCTATTCAACTGATTGGAAACTCATACTCTAGTAATTAGTGATTCATCACCAAGCTATCAGCCGGGACTGAAAGGCATTCTGTCAAGGTTCGTGCTGCTCAGTGTTCTCATTAATAATACGAATGGTGGATTAGGGAGTCTCAATTAAATGCCACTCTAAGAATATTACACAATCTGTATGAAATAATGTAACTGTTTAGTTATTCTGATAAACTAAGAAATAATTTAATGCAATTCTAATGAAATCTTAGATTGGACATTCAACTGATTGACATTGAAGTTACCCTTAAGCTTGAATTATTTTTTTTTTTTATCTAGGAGGACATACCAAGAGCCATCTTCAATGGAATAGTCCAGGGTTCAATCTATTACAATCTCAGTAACTAATTCTTTGACGGAATAAAAATTACATGAACAATTTGTGCTTTTGCAATATTGTGCTGGCATATGCAATTAGCTATCTGTCAGTTTTTGAGAGCTGCAAGCTCTTGAGAAATGTAGGATGCCTGTTCAAAATCACACAGAAATTATTCAAAATAATTAAGTGTTTATAATTCAAAATAAAGTAATTATTCAAAAACAATAAAGTTAAACTAAGAAATAAAATGCAAATTAGTTTCACATCAGAAGGAAAAAATTAGGGAATAGTTTCTAAAACAACATAGCAGAAGAATTACATTGAATCACAAAATATGGTTATATTTTGACCTATGAAATAGGTCAAACTATATGTTCATATACCATGAACAGTATATGAAAAGCAAGATAATCTCATTTTACTGATACCAAAGAGCTGGAGCATTTTCATTGCCTTTAAATAAGTACAAAGATGTCAAGAACTGAATGAAATGCAGACAACACATACTAAGAATTATTACCTGAGAGGAAAGAATGAAAGGATTTAGGTGTTTTTGGCTTAGCAAAGACAAGAAGGACTTGTATCATGATATCAGTCTCTTCACATGTAAAGTGATTCCATAATATGGACTCTGATCTTGCTCATGAAATTTAAAACAACAAATAATCAGCTGATTTTATTTCAGAAGTATTGATGAAATATTAGAGCTTTACTTCTGGGACAGCTAACACTGGGCCTGGTTGCTTACCAGTGTGGTGGAAAGAAGTTTCTCACCAATTTTTAAGAGATATTAGTTTAGATATACTGGACCCAGCCTCAGAATACATATATTAACTTTATAACTTTAGATTTCTCTTTCAGCCTTTGTGTCTGTGTAACACTCTTTGAATATAGATATCCACTAGAAATGAATAGTTGTTATTTACCAATACCACTACTTACCCTATTAGATTCCTTTTTTCCCCCCACTTCTGTTGGAATCAGTACCGGAACTGTCTTCTACTTTTGCAGCTTTATCTCCAGTAGTTAGCACAGTACTCACGTATCACAGCTACAAATCTACAAATGTACATTTTAGTTTTGTATAAGACTTCCACAAGCTTTCACTTATGTATCCAGGAACCTCTTTTGATGTTGTTCAGAGCATTTCAGTACCTGGTACTGGAAATAACACAAGAACAAGAGATGCACATTTGATGGCTACAGGGAAGAAATGTGGACAAAAACACTGAAATGTTTGTAAGCTCATTCTACTTATTAGTTCAAATGTTTTTTACTAAAGTACTTCCAATTGGAGATATAAGAATGCTTTCAGTAGCTACGTTTATTTTTATTCTTTTTCTTTAATTTTATATGTTGTCACTTGTTGCATTGCTTCTACTGCTGTTGAACAGTATGTTTTGTTCCAAAAACAGAAGCAACAGCAACTTGCAGATAGCAGAACAAGTAATCTTACTGATAGATGCTTTTAACTAGAATTTACCTTACCGATGCTGTCTGAAGATTTTATCATAAATGGAATGAAACACAAACATATGGCAGTTAGAAGAAAGAATATTTAACAGTTTGTATGATCAGTGAATATTAAGATGCTGTAATTACAAAATAAACAAGAGCATTTGGCTAAGCAGATTACTATACCAAAAAGAGAACAGATAAAGAACTTACCCTCAGCTTACCATGAAACTCCAAAGAAGGAACTTCCAGGAAGAGATTCTTCTCTCATGGCAGCCAGCTCTTAAATGGGTCTAGGAGAGATGGAGCCAGGCTCCACCCTTTCCGGCAGCACAGGTGAATTGCCTTCACCTGTGCTCCCATGGCTGACTCATGGCTTGCCTCAGGTGATCAATGAGAGGTTCAGGCCGTGATTCAGCAGTTCCCATACACTGTTATAGCTAGGAATCAAGAGCTAAATGGTAAATAACGCTAAATACCACTTCTTTCCTATTGCTTACAGAAGGGTGTATGCTGAGTCATGGCCTGAACCTCTGATTGATTCAATTCACCTGTGCTGCCAGAAAGGGTGGAGCCTGGCTCCACCTCTCCTACACCCATTTAAGAGCTGGCTGCTAGTAGGGAAGGATCTTTTCTAGAGAGGGAACTCTGCTGGAGTTTTGAAAGTGAGCCTTGGATATGGGTAAGCTTTCTATCTACTGGTTTCAGTATCATTCAGTATCATAATCATTGTTATTATAATCTGTTTTGTCTAACTTTCTTGCTTAATTCATAGTTATGATCTATTAATATTTGTTGATTTTGCAGAGGTTCACGTTACCAAATTTTTAAAGTATTGTTCAGAGACGTATGTAGCTAACTAAGCGTTCATGATGATGAATAAAGGTTAAGAAGGTAATACACTAGCATCAAAAAAAATCAAGCTATGCATTTCAGTGAGGGGAAGTATTATTTACATTGTGGCAAACTGGAGTGATTGAGTTAGCCTATGAACAAGGTCAACATTTCCATATTTTCTTCCATTACATCATTTTAGTTTGATCAAGTAAGCATTTTTCTTTCTTCTGCTTTTCCTTTAGTAAAAGTGTTAAGTTACAGCCTGGAACAGTGATTGAGCACCTGGTAGGAAGGTATGGCCAACTCAAGGGAGCTCAGGTACATGCAATGTACCTGAGTGATGAAAAAGGGTGGAGTCAGGATCCATCCCTTTCCGGAGACTTCATTTAAGGAGTGGTAGTGGGTACCTGTTTACTGAGGTGTTTTGAAGGTAAGTAGTTTTTTTTCTTTGTTCTGAGTCCACAACTGCTGTTATTGGGCTTGTTCTTATTTGCTGCAGCCTAGGATTATGCAACTATGCTACTACTGTTGTGCTTTCGGTCACATTCTTTCTATCATACTATAGCATTTCAGCATTGAATAATCTTTTGCCTTTATTTTACCTTCAGCAGAAACCTCAGACTTTTTTCTCACGGTCTTATTTCTCATAATGCTAGTATGATCTAAACAAATGACAACTATAGGGAGGCTCCTTATATCTTTATGAGAAACTAATACTGAAAACAATATACTTATAATCCTGTATTTACTTAAATTGAGAAGTTGACTTAACCTAAACCTCCCACTCACAATGTGATAAATCTTATTTTTGTTGAAAGCTTTTATGAAATGGTTCTTGTATATTGACAGAGGTGGTACAAGGTCTCCTGTCTTCACTATGGGGGGAAACAATCCTAAATGTATATTAAAATTTGCATAAGAAAGAAAAAAAAATCATTTTCATGACTCAAAAAATGAAGTACTTGCATTTTTTAATCTTAATAAATCTTGGAAGATAGAAGTGAAAATATGTCAATTTCCCTTTTTCCTTCCTAGCTGTTTTTATGCATATGTCTTCATAAAATTTTTTTTAGAATTATTTTTAAGACAATAATTTATTCTTAAAAATTTATAATTCTAAAGGATTATTTGTTATTTCTTAGTGAAAACATCTATCTCATCCAAAGATGTTTTCCTATTGAAAAAAATCTGTGAAGAATTTTCAGTCAATTTTATGTCTTCGTTTTAATGTTTAATTACTATTTATCAATAGGAGAAAATTGAATA